TGTTGCTGAGTTTTAGAAGTTCTTTATATATCCTGAATATTAATCCCTTATCATTTATATGATTTGTAAATATTTTCTTCCATTCTGTAGGCTCTTTTGACTTTCTCGATAGTATCCTTTGATACACACAAGTTCTTTATTTTTTTATTTTTTTTTTAAAGATGACTGGTAAGGGGATCTTAACCCTTGACTTGGTGTTGTCAGCACCACGCTCAGCCAGTGAGCGAACCGGCCATCCCTATATAGGATCCGAACCCGTGGCCTTGTTGTTATCAGCACCGCACTCTCCCGAGTGAGTCACAGGCCGGCCCTCACAAGTTCTTAATTTTGATGAAGTCCAATTTATCAGCTTTTTCTTTTGTTGCCTGTGCTTTCCATAAAAACATTGCCAAATGAAATCTCATTAAGATTTTCTCCAATGTTTTCTTCCAAGAGTTTTATAGTTTTAACTCTCAAGTTTAGGTCTCTGATCAATTTTCAGTTCATTTTTGTATATGGTGTAAAGTAAAGATTCAACTTCATCCTTTTGCATAAGGATATCCAGTTTTCTTAGCATCGTTTGTCAAAAAGACTGTCCTTGCTCTGTTGAATGGTCTTGGTACCCTTGTCGAAAATGAATTGACCGTATAAGTGAGGGTTCATTTCTGGGCTTTCTACGCTATTTCATTGATCTATATGTCTGTACTTAAGCCAACATCACACTGTTTTAATTAATGTAGATTTCTAGTAAGTTTCAAAGTGAGGAAATGTGAGTCTTCCAATTATATTCTTCTTCAAGATTGTTTTGGCTCTTCAGGGCCCCTTGCAATTTTGACATTTTTGTGGAAAAGGTTGTTGGAATTTTTATACGAATTTTGGGGGGGGGGTGAAGGAATTGTGTTGAATCTGTATATCACTTTGGGTAGTATTGACATCTTTCTATCCATGAACACAGGTTGCATTTCCATTTATTTAGGTCTTCTTTCATTTCTTTCAGTGAGGTTTTATAGTTTTCAGTGTACAAGTCTTTCACCATCTTGGTTAGATTTATTCCTAAGTATTCTTTTAGATGTCATTATAAATGGAATTGCTTTTCCTTTTCAGATTATTCATTGCAGGTATGCAGAAACACAACTGATTTTTCTGATCTTGTAACCCTGAAACTTTGTTGAGTTTATTTGTTAGCTCTCAAAGCTTTCTTATGGATTCTTTGGGATTTTCTATATATACAATAATGCCATCTGTGAATAGAAATAGTTTTATGTCTTCCTATCCAATTTGGGTGCCTTTTATTTATTTATTTATTTATTTATTCTTGTCTGATGGTTCTGGCTAAAACCTCCAGTACAATATTGAACATCTTGTCTTATCTTGATCCTGATCTTGCAAAGAAAGCTTTTAGTCTTTCACCATTCAGGATATTTATTTATTTATTTATTTATTTATTCTTGTCTGATGGTTCTGGCTAAAACCTCCAGTACAATATTGAATAGCAGGCATCTTGTCTTATCTTGATCCTGATCTTGCAAAGAAAGCTTTTAGTCTTTCACCATTCAGGATGATGTTAGCTGTGGGTTTTTCATACACACTCTTATCATGCTGAGAAACTTTCCTTTTACTTCTAGTTTTCTGAGAGTTTTTTTTTTTAATCATGAAAAAGGTTTTGGATTTTTACAAATGCCTTTTCTGTGTCAATTGAGATGATCATCTGGGGTTTTTTCCCTTTGTTCTATTAATGTTATTTACTACATTGACTATTTTATGTTAAACCATCCTTGTATTCCTAGGTTGGATTCAATTTGCTAATATTTTGTTGAGGATATTTGCATCTATATTTATAAAGGATACTGGTCTGTAATTTTCTTTTCTTGTGATGTCTTTATCTAGTTTTGGTATCGGAGTAATGCTGGCTCATGAAATGAGGGCATTGTTTTATAATAAATATAAGTAATATCTGTTTAGTAAGTCATGTTCTATTTATGTTCTCTTTTTTTGAATAGTCTTACATCTATGTATGTTAAGAATATACAATAATATATCCTATAAAATTTAAATAAACAATAAAGATTTTTTTAAAGTCACAATAAAGTGCTGTATCAGTGGACAAAAAGAAACATTATAAAATATTTTTATATTTTTCTTAAATATGTTTGTTTATTAGCTCTACTGTTAATTATGACCAATTGCTGCTATTAACTAGTCCTGTTGCTGTTTTGTTTAAGTAACAGCATTCATGTAACAGAAGAGTAAAAAATACAGAGTAATATATAATTTCAAGTAGATGCTCATTTTTATATTAAAGTAATAACACATAGGCATATAATTATTTATTATATTATTGGGGGGGTTTTGCCTGGTATGTCTGCACCCTGGTTGGCTCTCTAAAAAGGTGGTGTTAGGCAGAGTCTTTCCCACAGTCTCATAGACCCAGAAACCTCCAGCCTAGAGAATGACATGCTGTAATAAAGGTCGGGGGGCAAGGTAGGACCCCACTTCTCTGGTGCTCATACCTAGGGAACAGCCCTTAGGATATCCCGGGCTAGCTGTTACATGCCATTTGAATGGGAATCCCAAGGTGCAGTGACGTTGGGAGGGAAGACCCACCTGGGATTTTTGGCAGTCTCTGCTGCTTGTCCAAGGGCTGGTACCCTCCCTCCAAGGTCCCCTGCTGGCTCCATCACTCACGAGTCTGGCCAGACTTCCTCCAACAAAGCTCAAATATCAATGGTGCAGACAGAAATACCTGGCAGCTCCCCACATTTGCAAACAAAAGGGGTCGCTTTCCACATTCCTAGGCAGCCCCCTCAATGGGATGGCCTGGCCAGGTGTAGACGTCAGACTCAGCCTGCCCAGGAGTTTCATACTTGGTATTAATTTCATTAACATTTTTGCCATCATCAATTCTGACAAATGCAATAGACATTTTAAGCCACTCAAAGCTTGCCCACTTTTACCTTTGAAGCAGACAGGACCCATTTCTTGTTGTTGCTAACAGCAACGTCCATCACCCAGTCATTATGGCCCTGAAGAAAAATAAAATTTTAACGAGGACCTAGAGAAAATGCTTTATAAGAATAACAAAAACAAAACAAAAAAACATGTTAGGAACCCAATGTTTAACAGCAACTAATTGTGCTTCTCTGGTTTAATCACCAACATTTAGGTGGAACAAAGTGTAAAGACGTGTGATACATGTGTATATAGTGGCAATGTATGTGTGTTTAAAAACAGTACTTTGGTGTTTAGCACAATGAGAAAAAAAAAAAAAAAGATTTCATTCCCAGCTGGTCCCAGGTTTTTGTTTGCATTCTTTGTTCTAGGAAATATCACTCAGAGGTCCCATCACTGAGGGGCTTTTGGCTTAAAGTAACTGCAAACCAATCCACTGTGGCTTAAGCAAATGAGGGATTGTTTCCCTCAAGTAAAAAGGAGCTCAGGAGAGACAGATGCCATTGCTGCTTCAGACACTTAATGACGGCAGGGCTCTGCATCAGCATCATTATCATTTTTTGTCCTTCCCTTACGGAAAGAGGCAGAGGGTGAGGCAACATGGCAGGGTAGGAGGAAAGGGATCAGAGAGAAGGTCAAACTGCTATGTATAACCAAAGGCTAGGAATTTGACGGTAGAAGACTAGTGAGAGAGGAGGGAAGAAGGGGAAAGAGAATAAAGCAACCTGACAGGGGGACAAAGGGACTTTTAAGCCCATAGAAGTTTAACATTCAGTTTCAAGCTATTTAGCTGCTGTGATATAAACTCTCTTTGCCTCCCGTTTGAAAGTCCTAGGAGAAGACATCTCAGAGAGAACAACCCCAGTGCTGCCCAAAGAGGCATAGTCTACGTTTGGGTCCTGGGGGACAGAGAGACCAAGAGTCACAGATGCAAGCATTCACAGCCAAAAGTGACCATGAGATCACAAGACCAGGGAGTACGCAGAAATCTTGGGGTAGGGGATGCTTGGAACAGGGGCACTGAATGAGCCAATCCTAGATTCTTGCTGTGTTGGATAATACACCCCTTTATTACATAGCCACTTTAAGTTGGGTCTCTTCTAACTTGCAGCCAAAAGTGCTCCATTGAAACCTCCCATTTTGGGGCCCCACAGCTTTCTGTTCATGCCTCATTATGGCATTTGTCCCTCTCCACGGTAATTTCTGCAGTTCTTGGACACTTTCCCACCTCAGGGGTTTTGCATTTGCTGTTCCATCTGCCTGGAAGGCCCCTCCCCAAGATCCTCACTTATCCAGTCCCTCCATGCCATCCAGTCCTCAGCTCAAATGGCCCCTTCTCCAAGAAGCCCTCCCTGCCCATCTACTGTAGATTAGTCCCTGGAGTCTGTTTTTATATGTCACCCTGTTGTGGTTTCTCCATTTCATCCAAAACTGTCCATGATTTGTTTGCTGGTTTCCTGTCTGTCCATCCCCACAGAGGTGTCAACTCCATTAGGAGGCATCTAGGTCTGTCTCACCCACTGCTGTGTCCCCAACCCCCAGCACAGAATGACTATCAGATGCTAGCACTTGTACCTTCAAGGCGAGCTTCCGGTAGCCTTCTCCTACATCCCAAATGGCCACAGTCCTGTCGAGCCCTCCAGAAATGAGAAAAGAGCCTGCAACACAAGATGAAAGAGTCTGGGTAGGTGGGCGGGGGGGTCATCTTCCCCAGCCAAGTGCTTCCTCCTCTGGTGAGATCAAAGAAGGCCGAGGATCCATTTGTGAGGTGCCACCATGGCTCACTTTGACGACACTGAAACCACTTCCTGGTGTGGCTCAATGACTTCTAGCCAATTACAGCCAGTTCTCATTGTTCACAGTAGTTATGTTCTATAGTTATTGCAAACACTGAATTGTCATACTGAACCATTGCTCCCAGGGGAAATATAGGATTAGGTTCTTGCAAGCCCCTGATCACAACATTTTCATCAACCCATTAACACCTAAACTTGCTATATCTGTGTTTCTGTTTAAACACCTTATTTAATCTTTATATTGTTGATTCATTAACATTGAACTCGTAGCCAGCAGCACTGTAGCTCATGCCTGAACAAAGCTTATGCAACACATGTATTTTTCCCGTAAGGCACATTGCAGGGTTCTTCCACTTAGAAACCCTAGGCAGCATTTCAGCACTACATTTAGGGGCCATCTTAAACAGCAAAGTTGACAACAAAAAGCACAAAAATGCAGAAAAAAAAGTGGCACTAAATAGACCACCAAAAGGACACTTTACTGTGTGAGAGCTGAAACAAGAAGACAGAGTGTCGCCTTGTTCTGCCTCAGCTGGGAATGTCTGCATCAGGTGACTCAATTTTTTCACTGCTCTGCATATGTCTGAGTGGCCACGAAAGCACCAAGAGTATTGATTTTAAGGTTACAAATAAATGTTAGCAGGTAAGTGAATTTGCATATACAGAATCTGGAATAATCATGTTTGACTATGTAATTCTGAACCCCGTAAAGCCAAGGACAGAAGCACGTGGTGCACCTCATAGTGAAGTGTAATGTAGACATAGGATGCTTCTGAAGAGGTAAAGTTGTTCAGAAATGCCCTAGCATTTCTCAAGTCAGGCATGACTTGCATGTGCACTGGCTGCATGTGCACTGGCTGGGCCACCCCAGACACACAGAGGAAGCCCCACTTCTCACTAGGATGGGGCAGTATACATTTGAATCCTGGGTGTCTAGAGCAGCTACTTGCCTCACCAGGCTAGCTTCCTATCATTGCCCCTGTCCACATCCATGCCCCTTCAACTGTCAACAGCTCTCCAATTTCCTGGGGGAAACACACTTTGCCTACTCTTGAGTATGTCTGGTTCAGAGGGTACTGTCCCGAACCTCTAGTTCTGGGGGGTGGGCAAGTCACCCAGACCTGGCCAATTAGCAATCAGAGCCTTTCATCCACCACTAAGTGATTGGTTCAGACACTGGCATACGTCCCAAGCTGAACCAATGAGGGTCTTCCCTGGGACTTGTGCTGGCACCATCAGCACCATCCTCTTTCTCCAGGATTGTCAGTGGCCAGAACCATGTTGGCCTGGACCTCCAGAGGCCATCTTTTCCTCCTTAAGGGAAAAGGCCAATATAAGAGGGAAGCTGAGTTGAGAGACAGAGTAGAAGAGTTGGGTTCCTCACAGAATTGTGTGAGGCTCTGGAACCAGCCTGCCTGAAGTCAGACCTGCTCCTGGACTTTCTTTTTTGGTGGCCGGCCAGTATGGGGATCCGAACCCACGACCTAGGTGTCATAAGGCTGTGCTCCAACCAACAGAGCTAAACAGCCAGTCCCCGGACTTTTCCATTACAGGAGTTAATACAGTTATTTTGTTGCTTAAGCCATATTGAGCTGAGTTTCTGCCCCTTGTAAACTTGTGTCTATGAATTTCCTTCTTGGCTTTTCTGTTCTCATAGGAAAAAATCTACCCTTGCTCTCAGCATCACTGGAAATCACCTATCTGTACTCAGGAAAGTCCACATGAATGGGCCATGAAGAACTCTGCCCAGCACGCCCATGGGGGCAGAGTCCCTCTACATATTAATCACTCACTGTCTCTGGCAAAGAAGCAGGAGCTCACGGAACCTTCATGGCCTTGCATCAGAGTCACACAGGCTCCACGGTTTCGAAACTCCCCTGTGTGGACATTCCATATTTTTAAGTTTTTATCCCAGGAGCTTGTACACAGGAAATGGCCACTGAAGGTAAAACAGCAGTTCGAGATTGCATTGGAATGAGCCCTGAAACACAGATGAAGGGGGTGCACATGGATCCCGCAGGACCTGAAGACAAACCTAAAGGCAGGAGGCTGTTGGGAGGGGACATCATCTCCTGTGAGCTGATGGACACCATTCCTTTGATCACTGCCTGCCATGATCCAGATATGAATTGCTCAGGCTCGCAGGATTTCTCAACCATTCCAATATTGGAATTTTGTACTGGATGATTCCTTGATGCAGAAAGCTGTCCTATGTATTGCAGGATGTTTAGCAGCATCCCTGGCCTCTACATACTAGATGCCAGTAGTCCCTACACCCAGTTGTGACAACAAAATATGCCCCCAGACATTGTCAAGTGTCCACTGGGCACAAAATTGCCTCCAGTTGAGAACCACTGCAATATTCAGAGCTGCTTGTAGCTTGAGGACAAAGCAGTGGGAAGAAGTGGTTGATAGACTAATGGCACCAAACCTGAAATCGCACCTACGAAGACGTTCTCTTCCACTGCCCCATGCCCTCATTTCTCCCCACGATGTCGGGCCTGGCTCCTTGTCCTCCATCCCCTCCCTCTCTCCTCCAGTGCCACCCCTCTCTTACTCAGTCCCCCTACTTCTCCACCCAACTGCTCTCTCCCTTTTTAAAATCTTCTCTCCCCATCAGTCTTCAGTGCTGTTAAAGCATGTTTTAATGTTGTATAGTTAAGTAAAAAAGTTTTGGGGTATTCATTCTCAATTTTTAAATGTTTTCTTTTTTTGGAAAAGAAAAAAATCTGTCAGAATTTTGCCACTTTTTGTTTTGTTTATGATCCTCAAAGTATTTTTCCTGTGATTCTCATTTCCTCTTATAAACAGTCTTCAAGTGAACTTATAAACACAACTGTGTATGTCTGAGTAAACCTGGATCGTCAAACCAATCATTTTACCTGAAGAAAGGAATGAACAAAACTATTTTCTACAGCTCAGGTTAGAGTTTTGGACTCTATTTCAGTTATTTGAAATGCACACACTGAATAAGATCAAAGGAGAAGAAACGTCAGCTTCCCAGGAATGTCCACATAAACTTTCCCAAATGCCAGTGCCTGGTGGGCTAAGAACCATCCTGACATATGCCAGAGGCTGACAACAAGCCCTCCCCAGAATCCAGACACTGTTATTGGGGCTTAAAACAGGACTCTCTCTATTCTCCAGGATGGACTCTCAAATAAATTCCACTTCTCAAAAAAGACCACTTTACTCGTACAAAACTTTAGGAAAAGTACTAATGGTGCACTTGCAGATCTGGACAAGATGAAGTTCATGCACTTCTCCCTATTCCTCCCACTAAGTACAGCTAACAACCCTGGACATTATTTATAAAGCAAACATAAGTAGACGATGAAAGGTGGAGAGAAGAGGCAGACCAGCTAGGAGTCTTGGGATGCAAGGACACCGTGTTTTCCCACTAAGTACAGCTAACAACCCTGGACATTATTTATAAAGCAAACATAAGTAGATGATGAAAGGTGGAGAGAAGAGGCAGACCAGCTAGGAGTCTTGGGATGCAAGGACACCGTGTTGTGAGTTTGTTGGGTTTTCTTTTTGTGTCATATTTCATGGACTAGGTGCTGGAAAAACCTGTAACCAGAAAACAAAAGCAAAAACAAAAAACCCACAAGTGCAGGCAAAAACAAAAAATCCCCAAATAAGCCTAGCAAGAGAGAAAATTTATAGATAATAACTGCTCTACTCTACTGGACTAGGTGCTGGAAAAACCTGTAACCAGAAAACAAAAGCAAAAACAAAAAACCCACAGTGCAAGCAAAAAAAAAAATCCCCAAATAAGCCTAGCAAGAGAGAAAATTTATAGATAATAACTGCTCTACTCTAGCCAAACACCTCAGGCAAAACTACAGCCCCATCCCCACCCCATCTCCATCAGCAAAAGGTGAGTGGGGCCTAGACTGCCACTCTTGCCAGGCTGTAACAAGGTGGCCTGCTAAAACAGAAGATTTCAACAAGATCCCGAGTCTCCTAATACCTAAAATGTCTAGGATACAACTGAAAATCACTCATCCTACCAGGAGCCAGGAAAATCTCTATGTGAATGGAGAAAGATAATCAGCAGATATCAACACCGATATGATACAGATGTCACAATGATCTGACCAGGACATTTAGGGACCATTATAAAAATGCTTATGTGGACAATTGTTATCATGCTTGAAACAAATGAAAAGATAGAAAAGCTCAGCAAAGAAACAGACGATATAAGAAGAACCGAATAGAAATTTTAGAACTGAAAAATGCAATATCCAGAATAAAAAACTCACTGGATGGCTCAACAGCAGAATGGACCAGACAGAGGAAAGAATTAGTGAACATGAAGACAGAACAATATTAATTAACCAATCCAAACAATAGAGAAAATATAAACTGGGAAAAAAGAGCAGAGTCTCAGGAACCTGTAGGACAGTAACAAAAGAGCCAACATTATGTCATTAGAGTACTGGAAGGAGAGGAGAAAGAAGGCAGAGCTGAAAAGACAATTAAAAAAATAGCGACTGAAATTTTAACAAATTTGCCCAAAGATATGAACCCACAGATTCAAGAATCTGGATAAACCTCAAACAGGACAAATCCAAAGAAATCTATACCCAGACACATCATACATAATTAAACTTCCAAAAACTAAAGACAAAGAAAAAAATTTTGAAAGCAGCGAGAGAGAAGTGGCATCTATAGAGAAAAAAATTTGATGGACAGTGGATTTCTCATCAGAAACCATGGAGGCCAGAAGAAAATGACATGACATGACAGTTTTTAAGTACTGAAAAAAAAGTATCCTGCAAAAATATCCTTCAGAAATGAAAAGGAAATCAAACTTTTTCAGATTGAAAAAAAAAACTAAGAAGATTTGTTGCCCATAGACCTACCCATATAACCATAGGAATTTTTTTTTTCTAAACAGAAAAGAAATGGTAAAAGAAAGAAACTTGGAACATCAGAAAGGAAGACAGAACATGGTAAGCAAAAAAAAAAAAGGCGGGGGTGGATAAAGATAATGGACTTTCCTTCTCCTCAGGAGTTTTCCAAATTATGCTTGACAGTTGAGGCAAAAAATTATAAAAAGCACTTATATTTACTCTTTGCAAACTTCAAAATCCGTTGAGAATGTAGATTTTCAAAATCTTCCAGCCAGCTTTATAACACTGAGGTCACGGGTTCAGAGCCCCATACCAGCCATGTGCCAAAAATGAAACAAAAAAATCTTGCAGCAAGGCCAGCTATATAATTGTCGGGGCCCAGTGGAAAATTAAAGTGAATGGTCCGAGTTCCTCAAAAAGCTAAACATAATATTATCATATGACCCAGCAATTCTGCTCCTAGGTATGTAGCCAAAAGGATTGAAAGCCGAGACTCAAACAGATACTTGTATGCCAATATTCATTGCCATATTATTCACAATAGCTAAACGGTGGAAGCAACCCAAATGTCCATCAACAAATGAATAGATAAAATGTGGCATATACATACAATGCATACTGTTCAGTCATAAAAAGGAATGAAGGGCCGACCCGGTGGCGCACTGGAGAGTGCGCCACCTGGGAGTGCGGCGGCGCTCCCGCCTAAAAATAAAAAGGAATGAAGTTCTGATATGTGCTGCAACATGGGTGAATCTTAAGGACATTATTTTAAGTGAAATAAGTCAGTCACAAAAAGACAAGTAAGGTATGATTCCACTTATATGATAATATCTAGAATAGGCAAACTCATAGAGACAGAACGTAGAATAAAGGTTACCAGGGGCTGGGGGCAGGAGGAGTGGGGAGTTATTGCTTAATGGGTACAGAGTTCCTGTTTGGGGTGATGAAATGGTTTTGGAAATAGATAGCGGTGATGGTTGCACAACACTGTGGATATAATTAATGCCAGTGAACTGTAGACTTAAAAATGGTTAAAATGGCAAGTTTTATGTTGTATACATTTTACCACAATTAAAAATTATAGTAATGTAATATTCCCAAAACTACTGAATTAATTTTATATGGGTAAATTTCACGGTATGTGAATTATATCTCAATACAGCTGTTTAAAAAATAAAGGAAGAAAGAAAAAGGAAACCATTGTTTCTGGAGGGAAACAAGGGTTACAAGATATGAGAGGGATATTTTTTCACTGTGTATCCTTCTGTACCTTTTAAATTTTGTACTGTGTTGCATGTTTTGCATTTTCAAAACGTAAGTTACATATTTTTGAAACTAAAAACTGCAAGGTTCTTTGTTCAGAAATTATTAAGAATTTTGAAACAGAGTGTGGGGCAATTCTGAGTGTGAGCCCTGCATGACCTCCGAGGTCACATGCCATGAAGCCAACTCTGCCCTGTAGCTCTGAGACTTCTTGCCTCTATATTTTCTTGCTAAAAACTACATTTCCAGAAAGAAAAAAGAAAAAAAACATAAATCCAAGGTAAATCAAAACTAGCAGTAGACATTTCATTATTTCCCTTCTCCACAGCCACACCCATTGGGGCCACAGAATGGAGTGGACTGGAGCTGCGGCTGCCTGGGCTGCCCTCACCCCCTCACTGCCCCCAGCCAGTGGCTCGAAGGAGCAGTGCACAACCCCTGACCCAGGCTTTCACTGGGTGGCCGGCACTGTGCTAAGGACCCTCTTCGTGTGTTATCGTGTTCAGACTTCACCTCTGCTCCTTTGCAGGAGAGGAAACTGAGGCCCCAGGTCACACAGGATGGGAACCTACTCCCCTTTAATGGCTGGCCAGACCACCATAGGAAAGCTGGCCCAGGCCGGCCAAGCTCATAACCGAGGCAAGCAGGCAGGGTGACTGGTATATATGCATTCTGGGATCCTAACTCCAGGGCCTGCTGGAGAGGACCCACCCCATTTGGTAGTGGCCACCTGCAAGGTAATCCTTGCAGATCCTAAGTGATCAGGTCTTGCCATTTCACAGGAGATGCTGGAAATTCACATTTTTGCGGGGGCTCCACACAATGTTTTCCAGTGTTGGCTCACTTTGAACAAAATGCATCTGAGGCCTGGCCCGGCCTGGCCTATAGGCCACAGCAGGTGGCTTTCCCCCAGCCTGCCTGTCCCCAGCCTCCTTGGAGCACCCAGGACCAAGCTGGAGATGCATCCACATGGACGCTGGCTTGCATGTGAATCCAGGAGGGCATGAATGGTGACGTCCCACCCACCTCCCTGCTGCAGGATGCCACCGGCTTCCCGGGACCCTCCTCACTTTGTGATGGTGAGCAAGGTGGCCTGGGATGCAACATCCCAAATCTTGATGCACCTGTCCAGTGAGACGGAAGCCACCTTCTGGCTGTCAGGATCAAAGCAGCATGCCGTGATTGACCTTCTGTGATGATCTGCAGTACAGGGAAAGTGACACGTTGGGCCACATGAAGCACATGGCCTGGGGAGCTCACCGGCTCCCCCAGCCAGTGATGATATCAGGGAAACACATTTCTGGTTTTCATACGGGACTGTTCACAAACGCTTCCTGAGTGCCTACCATGTGCCAGGCTTTGAACAGTGAGCACGGCTGACCTGCTCCCTGGCCCTGCAGAACTCCCAGTCTGATGGAGGAGACACTCTTGAGCAGGCAATGACCTGCCATGGGCTGAGGGCCATGAGAGGAATGGTCATGGCTCTCAACCAGCAGAAGCCTGTCCCACCCTCAAGGGTCCAAGAAGGGCTCTAAAAGCCAGCGAGGGAAGCAGGAAAGGAAGAGCACTCCCTGCAGAAGGACAGCACGTGCAAAGGTCCGGAGGTGGGCTGGAGCATGGAGAAGTGGGGCGTGCAGCTAGAGCTTCTAGTGCAAGAAGTGACAACTGAGGGGGTCTGTTAAGGGGCAAATGCGAGCTGTGGGGCAGTGCACACCATGGCTCCATGTTGATAAAAATCAACGTAAAGGACATAGGCAGAGTAGTATGGTGTGCTTAACACACACACATACACACACTCACACACACACAGTTCAGGAGGGCCACCCAGCAACCTATTAATAATAGATACCTCTGGGGAGGAGACAGGACAGGTACAGTAGCCTTTTGCTTTTACTTTACATAACCGAATTTTTTTACAATGGTTATGTGTTTTTTAAACTTTTTTTTTTAGGTAACTGTAAACTGACATGCAGGTGGAAGAAATAACACAGGGAGACCCTGTATGCCCTTCACCCAGTTTGTTCCCCCATGAAAACATCTTGCTCAATGATGATATAGTATCACCACCAGGAAATTGACATATGGTGATTATTATTTTCATATTTTAAAAATGCAGGTAAAATTATTAAGAAGGCTGAGCCTCCACACAACAAAAGATTAGGCTTTCAATGTCTACGTGAGGTTGGAGCAGAACACTTGTTTCATTTGTTACAAGATTGAATGGAAAAGCATTAACTGAAAAGGATAGGTCTCGGTTTTAAATGTCTGCTTTTATCAGTCAATGTCTCAGCTTTAATGATGCAGTTACATCATTACAGTTTCATCAAATAAAGCAACGGAAAGTGTCTCTCAGTCAGGTGACAAGCGGCCATTGCTGCTTGTCATGGTGAACAGAACAGAGCAGGGAGCCCTTGCGACCTCACCTTTGATGAATGATATGGTGGTGGTATTCTCTGCATCCATTATGCAGATTCCATGGTCCACATCCAAGCCTGAGACCACATATTTACCAGTTACATCATTACAGTTTCATCAAATAAAGCAACGGAAAGTGTCTCTCAGTCAGGTGACAAGCGGCCATTGCCGCTTGTCATGGTGAACAGAACAGAGCAGGGAGCCCTTGCGACCTCACCTTTGATGAATGATATGGTGGTGGTGTTCTCTGCATCCATTATGCAGATTCCATGGTCCACATCCAAGCCTGAGACCACATATTTACCATCAGGAGAAAATTTACAGGCGACTATGAAGGTATCATGGCTGACTTTCCACTGAAATGGGGCAACAATCAAAAGGTTGTTTTCTCTCTAGCCCAGCCACCCAGTACAACTCTCTTGAATGATGGAAATGTTCTATCTATGCACAACCCAATGTGGTAGCTGCTGGCCACACTTAGTCACGGAGCACTTGCAATGAGTCAGCGCAAAAAGGAACTGAATTTTTAAGTTTGTTTAATTTTAATTAAGTAAGTAAATAAATAAATGTAATGAATTAATCTGCATCTGGGACAGATGAGCATCTAGCAGAACTGGAAGCAAGGTTCTAGAAATGGCCAACTTTATTCCTGGCCAATTCAGCAAACATGTGTTTATTGAATGTCTGCCCTGTGACTGGCACTGTGGACAAGATACTATAGCCCCAGACCCTCACGGTCCCCTGGAGGAGGCTGGCAGCAAGCCATAAGAAGGGGACAATTAGCTACTCAACAATCTAGGAAAGGAGGATCTCTCTAGATGTTCTAAATTATGGTACTGCCCACAAATTCTTCAACAGTCCTCCCTCCAAAAGATGGAACCTAATTCCCCTCCTCTTGAGTGGGGACTGGATGTAGTGACTCACTTTTAATGGCTAGAATATGGCAGAAGGGATAGTGTGTGACTGGGTTATAAAAAAAATCATGGCTTCCTCCTTGCTCCTCAGATCAATTGCCCCGTGGGAGTTAACTATCGGGTCCTGAGGACATTCATATAGCCCTGTGTCTCCAGGGAGACCCACATGGCAATGAACTGAGGGCTCCTGCTGCAGCCACGTGAGTGAGCCATCTTGGACAGGGACACTTCAGCCCCAGTGGAGCCTAAGATGACTGTAGCCCCAGATGACTTCTTAACTATGACCTCGCAAGAGACCAGAGCCTGAACCACCCAGTTAAGCTGCTCCTAGATTTCTGACTGTCAGAAACCATGTGAGATAATAAATGTCGTTGAAGCTGCTAGGCTTTGGAATAATTTGTCAAGCAGCAGTAGATAACTAATTCTGCTCTATAGTTGGCAAGTGGCATGGATTACCTATGCAACAAAAATAAATAAAACTACTAAAAAAAAGGTTAAAGAAGAAAAAGAAAAGCACATCAAATAGAAAAACTGGCTAGAGACAAGAACAGGAAATTTATAAGAGAAGAAATAAACATTTTTCACCTACCAAATTGGCTAATTTTTCTAAAAAAACCATGGTACCTGGCATATGAGGATGGGAAATGGGGATCTCTCCTCAAGTGCCTAGGGTATGAGTTGGCACAGCTTTCTGGAACGCATTTCTTAAAAGCTCCATGATTCTGTACCACTTAAATTATCAATGAAGTTTAGTTATATATCCTCAAGAAATATTGAAGCATATGTATAAAAAATATATGTAAATGGTTCCCACTATAGCATTGCTTATAATAGAAAAAAATAAAAACAGCTTTAACATCCTATAACAGGAAATGGTAAGATAAGACCTGCCCCGTCTGTTTAGTGGAATCCCATACATCCATTAAAAAGGAGATGTTGATTTGTAAGTGGGAAAAGAGTCAGGGCCCAGAAAGCATGTGCATAATGACAGTATGTTTGCTAACAAAACATACTTGTCTATGCTCATGTGTAAAACATGTTTGTTGAGAAAAAGACACCAAGATGTTAACTATAATCTCTGAGAGGTGGTTTTAAAGTATTTTTGTTTTCTTTCATAAACTTGGCTTATATTGTCTTTCTAAAAATTTTTACAATGAATATAAATTGACCTTTGTACTAAGAAGAAAGGTTTTTTTGTTTTGTTCTGTTTTTTGTTTGTTTGTTTTTAAGGAGAGAAAATAAGAGGAAAGGAGAGGGGAATAAAGAGCTGCTATGTGAAGGACAGCAGAGGTGGGGACAGGAGGCCTGGAGCAGGCCCCTGAGCAGGGCTGAGGCTGCCTGGGCAGGGAAACAGGAGAGGGAGGGGATTTCAGACCTATTTGGAGGGACGGAAGGTGGCCCCCTCCAAGGTAAAGGCAGAGCAGATTAGGAAGAGCCTGGAGCCCTAGTTCTTCGGCCATATGGCCTTTGTCTCATGGCCTCAGCCCTACTTCCTGCTTCATCCAATCCAAACATCCTGGAACGCCATCCCTTTCTCCCCCACCTTCTTTCCGTACATTCAAACCCCTCCCATCTTTCAAGCAGAAGCCCTCTCTGCTGTTCTAGCTTGATTTCCTCCCCCATTACCCACTCTCCCTCATCTGTTTCCTCCAGACTTTGCAAGAAATGGCTACCATAGGGTGCTGTTTATATCTGCATCTCGGGTCCCTGAGAAAATCCTCCTTTCCTGGAAGACTGGAGCTTTTGTCATCTCCCCTCACCCCGGGTCCAGCCCAAAGCTACCTAAGGCCCAGTCAAGATCCCATGCCACAATGACCCCTTGGGGCAGGGCATACGTACCAGCAGCTTGCCTGTTTCAAGGTCCCAAGCCCTCACTGTTTTATCATAGGATGCTGCAATAATTCTGGAAATAAAATGACAAACACTCAGTCTTAATGACAGAGACAATTATACCTGTGGTTTCTAGGAGAACTTTTTCTTCTTTTTATAACTGAGGACCAAGATTGCAAATAACACAATAATCTTTCAAAAGATGGTTCATGATCCCCACTGGGAACCAGGGAGTTCTCACTGAAAACAGAGAGAACCTAATACAAAAGGCACTACAGCACCATTATATTCCTTAATCCTTCAGCCACAAAAGAACGAAAATATGTTCTTTTATATTTAGGGCTTTAAAAGTATCATTTGTTCTGTTCTATAATTTATGTCGTCTTCTAAGGGGATCTCTGGAACTGACAAGGATCAATCACTTCCCCTCTCTGTTCACATGTCTATCTTTTTACAGGAAAATGCTTTAAAATAGACTGCTCATTTTGTTCTGAAATGTTTTCTTGTACATTTAGCAAAAAAAATATAAATGTACCTTTGTCTTCTTATATTGCATGTTTCTGTGGCAAAGTGTGTCCTCTGTCTAAGATAAATTCTCATGAAACTCGAATCCCCATACTAGTTTTATTTTAGTATATTAGTTTTGTAGCTGCTGCTCAAGGTAAAAGTAACCCCATTTCAAAGCAAATTCCCAGGTTGGCTGGTTAGTTCAGTCACTTAGATAGAGTGCAGCCATATAACACCAAGGTCACGGGTTCAGATCCCTTTACTGGTCAGCTGCCAAAATAATAATAATAATAATGATAATAATAAAGCAAATTCCCTTGTTTGTAACCAGCCCATCTCACATCTGTGTGAGTGGATTTAAGCAAATGCATCCCAGAGGCCCTTCTCTGTGTGTCACTGCCTCCCAGCCTGACTCTTTCCAGATGACAGCTCAGGCATGCTTCTGCTTCCCCAGGCCTCAGTTTCCCCTGGGAAATGAGGGCCTGGACTAAATTGCTAACACTCCTTGCAGCTGCACCAGTTTCCATGTGACTACAGAAAAGAAACTTCACGAAGAAAATTCAGAATGGTTTTGTATAAGCCACAATAAATTTTCCTGGCTTTGTATAAGCCACAATAAATTTTCTCTTTAAAGCACTTTAAATTTTCAAAGTGTTGTCATGTTTACTTGATTCTCACAGCAGAAAAATGCAAACCCTGCGGCCAAATGGTTTTGTATAAGCCACAATAAATTTTCTCTTTAAAGCACTTTAAAATTTCAAAGTGTTGTCATGTTTACTTGATTCTCACAGCAGAAAAATGCAAACCCTGCGGCCAACATAGGGGAATATGGTTGTTTATTTGCTGTTTAAAATTTTTTGAAAAGCAACCAAAACTGTCACTGACATGCCTGTACACTGGCCTGCTTGCTTGCTCTCAGTGTAAAACAAGAGAAAGGTCACCTTCTGCTGTCGGCCGTGACACTGCACTCTAAAACAGGAGCGCTGGGCCCTTGCTCAAAATCTCGAACCACAGATCCATCAGCAGCATCCTCAAATCAATGGGAGAGAGAGGGAGAGAGAGTGGTCACTGCCGTGTTCACTGAAATCATGAACTGAGGCCAGCATCAGCGCTCAGCTTCTCTACAGAAGCAATATACGAGAACCACATGGTCCTGCGACTCCCACTCAGCCTCAAAGGGTGAAAGGACTTTCCAGCACCTCCCCCAAGCAGGAAGAACACCCTCACCATCCTTGGCATACACAGAAAACAAAATTCCACAGGCACCAGATGGCAACTTACCACTCTGGGAGCAGAGCTGCAAACAAATAATTTTCTCATTCTCTGACGCTTTGCAGAATCTAGCAGTATCCTTCAAGAACTTTTTTTTAAAAGTTCACACCCTTTGACCCAGAAATTCTACTCTAACGGGGTCTCTCCTAAGGAAATAACCAGAATTGTGGTCTTTTGCCTCAAAAGGTTCAGCATGCATTGTAGGTGATGGCAAAAACACTGGCAACAGTCTAGGTGTCCATCTAAAGGGAAATGGCTAAAACAAATTGTGGCACACCCAGCCGTGGGGTACTGTCAGCGGCCACCGATCATGCTGAAGGTCAGTAACAAGCGAATTCAATGAGCGCAAAGCAGGAAACCAAAGCAGAAGGGTGTCTGTGGTAGCAAAGATGGTCAACAGCTTTTCAGGATAGGCAGGGGTGGAAAGTCCCCTTACAACAAATGTTATTGGTGGTGAGGGTGGGGACACTGGGACATATTTCCTGGGACAGAGAGAGGATGGCTCATGGGAAGGAGGGATAAAAGGTAGCAGAGGCATAAGTGACTGTATGGGGTGGGTGGGCATGGGACAGGCGGGCAGAAAGGGTAAGGAGGCCACCGTGGGGAACCAAGGACATCTCGATGAATGCTCCTAATTTGGGGGCAATGACCAAAATGGAAACTGGCAGATTTCTCCTTATGGAGACAAGAGCCCTTCAGCCAAGACAGACTGAAACCCCTCTGAGTCCTTCTTGAAAGGGCACACGGACCCGAGCTGACAGTTCGCCAGAGAAGTTCCGCTTTATTCAAGGACTGCATGTACATTTATAGGGAGCTGCGTTCAGGGTTGGATAGGGGGTGGACGGGCGGTAGCTGATTGGACGGGGCTGGGCAGGAGGTGAGCCTTGACCTGTGACTGGTTGAGGTTTGGCGTGGGTGGGCTTGTTTACTGCGGAGAAGAACCCGGAAGGGCGCCATATTGCTAGGGTGTGTCCCTGTTCAGGTGCCCATAGGGTCCCTACACTTCTGCTGACTCAAAAGGAGAAAAGAACGTGGAAAGAATCTGAAGATAACAAAGCAAAACAACAAACCTCTGGGATCCTGGAGTGTCAGGGAACTCAGTACTGTGGGACTGTCCACAAGAGATGCCTAAGCTTATGAGATATTTCAGTTCCAGGAGAAACTAACACCAGGCCACCTACCCACAGCTTCACAGTGGAGTCATAGGAGCCACTGAGGAGCTTCGTATCATCCACACAGAAGTGACAGGAACTCACAACATGCTGGTGCCCACTCAGAATTTTAAATGGGATCTGAAAAAATAATTCAAATGAGTTCAACAAGGCTGCAGGGTACAAGGCCAATATACAAAAATCAATTGTATTTCTAAACACTTGCAATGAACAATCCAGAAAAAAACCTTAAAAACTCCATTTACAAAAGCATCAGAAAGAATAAATTGAATAAGGGAACTATAAAACTTATACTCTGAAAATTACAAAACGTTGTTGTAAGAAATTAAGGACACAAATAAATGGAAAGACATCCCATGTTCGTAGATGGGCAGACTTAATATTGTTAGATAACAATATTCTCCAAAATGATCTAAAGATTCCAAACCATTCCATCAAAATCCAAGCTGACTTCTTTGTAGAAATTGATAAGCTGATCCTGAAACTTATAGGGAGGTTGAAGAGAACCTGAATAGCCAAAATAATCTTGAAAAAGTAGAACAAAGGCAGAGGTCTCACACTTCCTGATTTTGAAACTCACTGCAAAGCAACTGCTGTGGATTGATTGAATTGTGTTCCCCAATGTCCATAAATCAGAAGCTTAATTCCCATTGTAACTGTTGAGAGTAGGAAATCCTAATATGGTAATTGAAAGGTGGGCCCTTGAAGAGGTGATTAACTTGATGGTTTAATAGTGGTTAGGGGCATGGTTCTGAGGGCTTTAAAAGGAGAGCATGTGAGAGTCTCTCTCTCTGCTCCACCATTTTCTGCCATGTGAGACCCCTGCATTGCTGTAAAGCCACTACCAAAGAAAATCCTCACCAGATGTGTTCCCTGGACTTTGGACTTCCCAGCCTCTGAAACTGTAAGTGTGGAATATACTATAAAGCATAGGTACTTCACAGGGCCTGGTTTTCCAAAGCCTGGCAGTTTCAAACATTGACCTTGCAAGGACTGGAAATTTCCCTCAGGCTATAAGTCTCTGTTGCAAGATAAGGATTGTGGCACAGCAGGTTGCTGGCTCAAAGGACAGACTACTTACTGATTGTTATGTAAAGATACTT